GAAGAAGAATACCAAGAAGAATACGAAGATGAATACCAAGAAGAATACCAAGAAGAATACCAAGAAGAAGAATACCAAGAAGAATACGAAGAAGAATACCAAGAAGAATACCAAGAAGAATACCAAGAAGAATACGAAGAAGAATACCAAGAAGAATACCAAGAAGAATACCAAGAAGAATACCAAGAAGAATACGAAGAAGAATACGAAGAAGAATACCAAGAAGAATACGAAGAAGAATACCAAGAAGAATACCAAAAAAAATACCAAGAAGAATATGAACAAGAATACCAAGAAGAATACCAAGAAGAATACCAAGAAGAATACCAAGAAGAATATGAAGAAGAATACCAAGAAGAATACCAAGAAGAATACGAAGATGAATACCAAGAAGAATACCAAGAAGAATACCAAGAAGAATACGAAGAAGAATACCAAGAAGAATATGAAGAAGAATACCAAGAAGAATACCAAGAAGAATACGAAGAAGAATACCAAGAAGAATACCAAGAAGAATATGAAGAAGAATATGAAGAAGAATACCAAGAAGAAGAAGAAGAATACTTTGGTACCAGTTTACATACTAAAAATCAGCTTTTTACATATACATATATGTGGGTTTTGACTGTCGAAACACATAACAACAACAACAAGTGTTGTTTATTAATTATATTAAATTTTTATTGAAGGACAATAATGTGTATTTGTACGAATGATTCGGTTTGTGTATTTGTTCGGATTCGTATACCTACGGTAATAGGTTCATAAATAATTGCTGAAATGATGTGTGCTATTTTAGTTATAGCGCAAGTGTGAATATTTATCGGAAGAACAGTCTATATAAGGGAAGAGGATCACAGAATACAAGCAGTCGACAGCGACAGCGTTGCGGCTAAAAATGCTGCCAGCACACCGACTTCTTAAAGCTGTCGTTGTTGACTTTAGTCGTCCGTGTACAGCTACACTAATATGGCAGAAATGTGGTAACATTGACATTGCGCTGGGTCAGGGACCCGCTTTACTCCATTGCACGCGATCTGCTGAGTTTGGAGGC